CGACTCCAGCCACACATCCCCCTCTCGGGCAGGATTGGTGAAAAGTGCCTGTGTGACGCTGCTGGCGGACCCCATAGGCTGGCCCAACCCAGATCCCAGAGCCTGACAGTGGCCCGGAGGGGCGGGCCCCGCATAGGCTGCCTGGTCCGTAACTCCCTGGTACGCTGCGGTGGGCGGAAACACCTAACTGGCCCAATTCGATCAGGCTGTGGCTGACAGGGAGAGAAGCTGGGTCTCCTATATAAGCTTCCATATATAAGGAACAGAGAATATGGGAAGAGGCAGCAACAAGAAAGACTCCTCGGCCCCCAATTCTGAGAAACAGGCAATAGCGGACACCGCACCAACAGACATAAAGCGCCATATAGAGAACCTCATAGATCAATTCAGGAATGAAGTTATCAATGACCTGAAGCTAGAAGTATGCAGAATAGTTAGAGAAATGCTAAGCACCACCCAAGAAAAAACAGATGGTGGAATGGAAGAACAGAAAAAGAGGAGAGAATTGTTTGATGGAGAAAACAGAGAAAGCATAGAATACGTGAAGCAGGTTCAAAGGGACTACCGAGAAACTAAGAAGTCTGTCGAAGTCTGGCATAACAGCTTGAAAGAAACTAAGGACAGACTATCTGAACTGGAGGGCAGACTTGTAATATGGGAGAATGAAATGAAAAACTTCTTAAAAATAACAAAGAAACAAACAGCAATAATACAAAGACAAGAAAATGATAAGAGGATCCATAACTTAAGGATTAAGAACATAAAAGAAGAAGTAGGGACACAAACAAGTGAACTACAAAAGCTACTCACAGAAATAATCCAGGAGAATTTTCCTAATTTAGCAAAAGGTAAAGATACTCAGATGTATGAGGCATACAGGACCCCAGCTACCTACAACCCAAACAGAGCAACACCCAGGCATATAGTAATAAAAATTCCAGAAATCCAATACAAGAACAGAATATTAAAAGCTGTCAGAGACAAGAAACAGACCACTTACAAGGGAACACCCATAAGAATTACAGCAGATTTCTCTGCACAAATCATCAAATCACGAAGAGCGTGGGGGGAAATAATTCAAGCTTTGAAAGATAATAATCTCCAGCCAAGATTGAGATATCCTGCACAACTGTCCCTGGAAATTGATGGAAAAACAAGGTGCTTCCAGGATAAAGAGGAACTGGGGGAATTTGCAACCACCAATTCAACTCTACAGAGAGTATTGCAGGATATTCTAAAAAAAGAAAAATACAAAGAATCCAGAAATAGTGGCGGGGAGGCCACAACGAATGGAGCAGAGAACAAAATGAAGAAGACAAACTGACAGCTACTGACAGAAAAAGAGCTCAACAGAAATGAGGCAGAGAAGATTGGATGATAGGAACAGCTATTTTGGAGAAAATGACATCTTAATAGGTAATACTGATTTAGTATCATCTTGTTTTGAAGTCTCATCTAGCTTTTGTTCTTCTGTCTCCAAAGGTCTAAATAGGTTGTATCTTATTGGATTTTATTATGTACGATAGTATAAGCAAAAACCTTTTAAAGACAAGGAGATTATACAGAAACCATTGTTCATTTTCTGTTAGTCGATTCTAAATACTCTGTAATGTTGTCATTCTCTTAAATGGTTTTACATTGTTTTGATATACTTAATGCTACAATATACGAAGTTGTACTCAAGGATTTCAAGGAAAGAGTCAATATGGTAACTACTTTTAGGTCAGGATTATCTGGTGGTGAAACACTATTCTGCTTAAATGGTTATGTTTTGATCTGTGCTGTTTCCCTGTTATGCCCTCTTTTATCTCAATCTCCACTCCATTATTTACTTTTTTATTTTTATCCTTTTAATTAAAGGAAAAAAATAGCAGGATATATTATAGTAACCCACTTTGACTTTCCATTATGTCGATTTAAAGCCCTGTATTACTCTCACCATCTTGTTTTTGACTGATGTTCCCCTATTCTGTTTTGCTGGATAGTATCAGATTCGAAAGTTTAGGCATCAGCTGTGAAGATAATGAGATTCATTATAACGCTCATTCTCCTTGACTTTTATCTACTTTTGAAGATACAATGTCTCCAATGTTTTGGTTTTGTCGGTTTTATTCTTTACTGTTTTGTTCAATTGTATTATAACTAATGATATAGGCAATTCTATTAGAGATAGAGGAGGCATTATGGTATCCATTGTTGATCACCTTGTATTATGTTTTTACATTATCTATTATGTCCACCCTTTTGACTTGACCGATTCTGTTCTGTTATGTCACATTTGGTTTTACTCTCTTCCAAAAAAGTAATAAGAACCGTGGGAGCAATGAAACCCAAAATGTGTAATAGTCATTGTACAAAAGAGAGGAAAAGAAAGTGCTCTAAACTATATAACTGCATGTATATTTAAGTGTATAAGATAGAAAATGATATCACAGAGTTTTATTGGATCATTGAACAGAACTGTTTGCAGTATCGTTGGAATGTCCACTTTACAAGCTTTAATTTTGTGACTTGAACCAATATTTCTAAGATTATAATATGTAATCCATTAACTAGTGACTTCCTACTGTTTATTTTTTTTCTGTAAATCTGTATAACTTGTACCCTTTCTCTGCTTTTTTTTTTTCTCCTTAAATAAAAATTTTTTTAAAAAGTGATATAGTCAATAAACAATGGCAGGACAATTTAAATAACAAAATAAACTGAACAGCGATTTGAAAACATACCTGATGTTCAATTATGGATGATGGAATATTAAATATGAAAGCCAAAACTAAAGAAAAATTTAAATATTTAATATATTTAAGGGCTTACTAAGAATTAAAATTCTTTAGAAATTTAATTTCCAGCTATATAAACCTAAAGGAAAAAATTAAACTATATTCAAAGAGCTGTTTCCAAAAAAGGAGGAGTGTGTGGAAAGATCAGCCAAAAACTTAGAAAACAATTTGCTGCATTACTGCCCATGCTAAAATTAAAAGCTCTCAAAAATATGAAAAGTAAAAATCAGCATGGAAAAAAAAGATAAATATTTATGGCCAATAAATATTTGAAAGCATGTTCAATCTTATTAGCAGTCAAGGAATACAAAGTCAGATCACAAGAAACTATTTCATATCCATGAGCTCACGGGGGAAACACTTCAAGGACCACCAAGAATGTGTCTCAACTAAAATCTGCTATACTCTTGATAAAAAGATAAACTGATTCCAGCATTTGAGGAATCATTTGCTTTTACCAACAAAGCTGAAGATTCACACCCCACGTTCTAGCAATTGTAATATGCATTTGCACAAACATAGTAATAAAAACAAGAATATTCACAATAGTTCTGTATGCAGTAGAAAAGAATTGCAATCAAAATGATAGTCATTAAGAGTTAAATACCAGTGAGAAAAGAATAAACTCCATAATCATCAATACGTATTAATCTCAAAAACAAGCAAAAGAGACAAGTCAGAAAATATGTATGATTTTATTTATGTAAAAGTCAAAGACTGCAAAATTAAATAGTATACTATTTAGAAATATCTACATGTGATACAACTATATAGAAATCTTAGGAATTTTTTATTAATCTTAGGAAATTTAACATAGATTGTAAGACAGTGTTGTGCAAGATAGACTGTAGTAAGGAGGACTTAACTGAGGTGTGCAAGTAACTAGTGAAATTCTAGTTCTTAAACTATATCAGAGGCTCACATGAATCCATTAAATCCTCTCCAAATCATACATATCAGGAATATATATATATATATACACTTTTCATTGGTCATTACCCACTTCATAATAAAAAAAAAATCCAACAGGGTCTTTAAAAAATATCTTTTTGTTTCTATTTAAAGAAAAAGGTCTACTTAAAAGTGCTCTTTCAATAGTAATGAAAGAATGATATTAGCATTTGGTACTTTAAGGGCTACTCTCTTTTTTAAAAAAATTACTTTTATATTAAAGATCATCCTATATAATGCACATCTGCATCCTTTCCAAATGAGTAATATAAGATTTTACTGACTTGCACCCTTAACAACCACTTTACATTAAACACACTCTAAATGTGTAATGAAATCCTTTAAACTTGTTTTTGAGACAACAGAATTAAGACAAACATTGAATTGTTTTCAATTTCTAAAGCACCGTTTGAAGATACGTTCATGTGCACTTATTCTGAAATCTCAGACAAGGCAGGTCCCCCAACTCCAGCAAGTGACACCCCGGAAAATCAATAGCTATTAGCTTTGCACCGTACTGGGGACAGTCCTCCAGGATCATCTTAGCATAGATTGTATTTCAGATCTCCTCCTAACCTCTTTTGAGTGGGAGGAGGGGCGAGCAGTGGTGGAAATTCTTTAAGGTCGAGGAGCTAAGAAGTGTCGCTTAATCCTAGGGCCAGAAATTAAGAGTCAGTTTGAGACCTTACATAGTAACCCCTTGGTTGCGGATGGAAAAAAGTCGACGCAATAAGCGCGCTTGCTTGGTCTAACAGCAGGTTAAGCTACCAGGGGCCTACCCTGTTGCTACCCAGGGGCCCTATCCTCTCTGCTACCCACAGATCCATGTATTCACCGCTAACAAAAGGGAGAGAGACAACTGACAACTCCTTAGTCACAACTCGAAAAGGGTCTTAAGTCATCTAACCAATCGCTCTTCTCACAGGTGGGGAAACTCGGCTGTAAAGTGACGCAGTTCGGGGGAGGGAATAAAATCGACCCTCCAACACAGAGCTAGGACCTCAAAAGTGAAGATCGCAGACAATCTCGCTTTCCGTATTCAAGAAGCGGGTTATCAAAACCCCGAGTCCCGGATTTCATTGACCAGCACCCCGCACCGCCCCCACAGGACCCGGAAGGCGGTAGGCGGGGTAACTGTCAAAACCTGAACTACACTAGGAACGCCGCGACCAGAGCTGGCTGCCAGCTTCCGCCTCACTCTTCGGACTCAGAGTCCGAGGAGAGAAGGGGAAACAGTAAGACTGCGAGATCTCCCTCGAGAAAAAGTACCTGAAGCTCTGGCCGCAGTCCCTCGCCGCACCCGCAGTGCAGCCTGTCACCCCACTTCCGGGGGTCAAATCGCCGCCAAGGAGGCTGGAGGTTCCTGGCTGGTAGCCGCAAGCCCCGCCCCCTCCAAGTCCCGCCTCCATTGCCCATTCAGCCAAAGACCGGAACCACTTTCGGAAAGCCGCGCGTCAATAACAGCTGATCTCCCACTTCCGTACGCAACTCTACTTTAACCTGCCGCTGCCCGCAACTGCGTGACGCCATCGAGATTCCCGCTCATTTGATTGGCGGAGCTAGAGCGCTAGTTGTTGTTGATTGGTTCCATGAAAATCTGTCCCATAGGCGCCCGCGGGGCTCTCTTTTTTAGTCATTCTCCTGTTTCCCGCCCTCCAACGGCGTAATCATGGTGGACGTGATGGAGTTACCCAAGTCGCGCATCAATGCCAGCATGTTATCTCAGTTCATTGACCGGCCAGTCTGCTTCGTAGGAAGACTGGAAAAGGTGTGCGGGCTCGCGGGCGTATTCTCCCCTGTGTCGCTGGTGGGAGGGATCCACTGATTGCCAGGAATAGCGTACTCTGTGTAACAGAGTAAGGGACTGACGCCTTAGACCATTATTGTCCTCTCGATCGCTTTATTTTGCACAGTCTTTCCACACATTTCAGTCGTTCTACGTCCATTCTGGCGCCAGTTATTTGATGCAGAAACCAACTCTTCGAGTGTGCTAGATTCTAAATACCAGCGCCCTCTAACCCGTTGTTGTAGTTTACAAATCTTATTCTCGTCTGGGTTTTGCTTGCCATCAACTGATGACATCTAGGTTAATGTGTTCGTCTTCTTCATTCTTACCCAGGTCTCTGTCCCCAAACTTCGTTTTCTCGTTGAAGTCCATTTTCCATAAAGCATGCCTTTCTCATCTTCTCCAGATCCCATAGCGGCCTATCATTGTTACCCTCTCATCCTACTTGTAAGGAATAGGCTCCTAGTCAGTAACCTGAGAAAAAGAACATTTACAAAGGTTCATTGTAGCTCATTTCATGCACACATTCTGTAAGTAAAATGAGTGTTAATTATGACTTAACAAGTAGGGAAAATGAGCTGGCATGCTGGGTATTTAACAAAAATGCTCAGAACCACAGCAAGTGGTAAAGCTAACGTCCAGGCCAGAGCTGACTGCAGTCTTTGCCGCCGCTTCCCAATAGTGAAACCCAGATCTTTTTCTACTTATCCGTAGGACGTGTGTTGCAAACAAAATCTTGAATGCCAGTAGATTCCATTTCTAGACAGTATAAACGTCCTTTAATTTGTTTTTAACGAATTAAACAATTTGGTAGATTTTTAAAGTAATAACACAGGACTTGCTCACAATGAAAAAGTATTCATTGTTTAACTGAAATTCAAAATTAACTGGGTGCCTCATGACCAGATCTGGTAAAATATGATTGTTATTTAAACCAAACTGTTCGAAAAACAGTTAATTTGATGCTCAAGTGAGTTAGAATCAATCTACTCATCTTTGATCAAATTTTCTTTTAATGAAATTTGTAAAAGGTTTTGCGTGGGGATTTTTAATTGTATATTTCTTTTTAGATTCATCCCACTGGAAAAATGTTTATCCTTTCCGATGGAGAAGGAAAAAATGGAACCGTTGAATTAATGGAGCCAGTATGTTTAAGTATTAACTCTTACTCTTTGTATATTAAATTTACTTCTTCATCTTAACTTTTTTTATTGTATTTTTTATTTTCGAGGTGGATATATAAAAACAAGCTTGTAAAATTTTATCTAGCTCTACAATGATTTTTTTGGACTCCATGTTTTTTTGGTGTTGGTTTTGTTTCTTTCTCTCTCTCTGTCACTTTTTCTTTCTCTCATTCTCTCTGTCTGTGTGTGTGTGTGTGTGTGTGGTTTTGTTTGGTTTTTAAATGTATATTGGTTTTTTTAGGCTCTTGCTATGCAGTTCAGGCTGGCCTAAAACTCACCATGATCCTTCTGCCTCAGCCTCCTTTAAAAAGTGCCAGGATTACAGGTGTTTGAATTCCCATGATTTTTTTAATATATTCCTCAAGTGTTGATTGGGTAACAACTCTCATTTCTTATGAAAGACTGTAAAATCATTTAAGGAAAAACTTATTTAAGTTTTTTTTCTTTTTTTTTTTTTTAATTTTAATTTTTTCTTGTGGCTGAATGTCTCAGTTATCTGTTGCCCAGGCTAGTGTTAGGCTCCTGGACTTAAGTGATCCTAAAGTTTCAGCCTCTCCAGTAGCTGGAACTACTGGAATGCACTATTATTCCACACTTTATTTTCTATTTTTACTTACAGATATTTTAAGTTATAATCTATTTCTGCTTTTTTTTTTTTTTTTTTTTTTTTTTTTTTGAGACAAGCTATCACCATGTAGTTCAGGGAGGCTTTGAGTTTATTATGTAGCTGCCCAATGCTGGGATTACAGGTGTGTGCCACCACACACAGCTATTTCTGCATTTTATGTTTAATATGTTTAAAAACATTTTCCTGGTCTTTTATGAAAACATTGGTTAATGTATACAGGTCACATTCCATAAAATATAAATTATAACGGGGTCCCCTTCAGTGGGTCTCAGAACAAATTACCACTTGTAGAAATTCTGGACATTCTCAGTATCTTTAAGAAAATTTGTCTTCAATTTAAATATTTAATGTAGCTTTGAACCAGAAGCTACTATTAAAGATAACAGGAATTGTAACTTGCTGGTAGTTAAGTTCTCATTTTTTAACCTGTTTCAGTTCAGTTTTTACATTGGTAAATTTTAAAGTTACTTTGTTACAATAAACAATAAATTGTAACAGCTTGAAAGATGGATAAACTATGTTTTCCAAATTAATTATAAACTGCAACTGCAACTTATCCAAACTAATATTTTAATATCATAGCTTGATGAAGAAATATCTGGAATCGTGGAAGTAGTTGGACGAGTAACAGCCAAAGCAACCATCATGTGTTCCTCTTACGTCCAGTTTAGAGAAGATAACAATCCTTTTGGTAAGTAAAGCATTTTTGTATTTATAGGCAATTAGGAGAAAAAATTTTTTAAAATTTTTTATTGGTATATGTGGTCTTGAGTCTCAGTCCTGTCTTTCAGTCCCAAAAGAGAATAGGATATTTTGACCTGCTTAGAAGTCTTTATACTAAAGGCTAATGTTTAAAAGAGGTAAAAATTGGGGAGAAGGAGAATCACAGTGAATAAATATAATGATCCATATCTCAGTTTTAGAAATTGGGTTGTGAAAATAGATTGACCTTTAAAACAAAGACAAATAAGTAAGAGGTGATTGGTGTAAAATTTTCTACTGTTGATTAAACGTTTGCTTAAATCTTTCTTTCAGATCTCGGACTATATAATGAAGCAGTGAAAATTATTCATGAGTTCCCTCAGTTTTTTCCTTTCAGAGTGCAAAATGAATCTTGAGGAATTTTTTATGATTACAAGAAGCTACATTGAATGATACATGAATATTAAAGGAATCCCTTCATATGGGAAGGAAAGAACTCTTTGTATTTAATTTGTTGTTTTTAAAATTCCATTTATCAGATGTTAGATATTTCAGTCTGCATTTTTTGATGGAACTGGTGTATTATTGACAGTTCTCACCTAAGCCCTTTTATAAAAAAATTGCTACTACATTGTACTGTCAGGTAAGATCCAGCAACAAAACAGTTTGCCTTGTGTATATTTTTCTATTTTATTAATAAAAATTTGGTATCTGCTATTGGTTACTTCATCTTTATTCTTGTAAACATATATTCAGATACAAGATGCATTTTCATAAATGTAAGGTCATGTCTTTTTTTTTTTTTTTTTTTTTTTTTGTCTTTTTCGTTTTTATCAGTACCAGGGATTGAACTCACGACTGCCTGCTTGCAAGGCAGGCGCTTATGCCACTGAGCTAAATCCCCAGCCCTGTAAGGTCATGTCTTAAGCTTACCAAATGAAACTCTGGGTCAACTCTTAAGGACTTACTGTCTCATAAATTCTACCATGTTAATAATTTTTTGATACTCAGTGATTTTTTGGTCACTTTCTTATGTTTTATTATGTTTGTAATACATGTTAAATTCATTTATAGTGAGGAATCGGTACCTAGACATATCTCATCTTGATTCTTTTTACCTTTCCTCCCTCCTATAATCCCCTCCCATCCCTTTCATAAAGTGTTTTTGACAATTGAAAAGAGCAAGCAGTACCCTATCATGTAATTGTACAATATCTCTTTTTTTTCTGGGTTTAACTGAACATATATTAATGCCAAACAAGATACATGGTCATTGAAAGAGTTAGTGGTATCATTTATGATTTTTTTTCTCCCTTGCAACTGCTATTAATGATCCTTAGTATATAATTCCTGTCTACTAACATATGATATTGGGGGCAGGCAGGGAGGATGCAGCAGGTGTGAAACAGGATAGTGCAGAATACCTGTGATGGCTCCTAGCTAGTTGAATTTTATTTAGCCAACATTGCAGTGAGAAAGTTAACTCTGAATCCATATAGGCTATTAATTATACCCCAAAATACTTTAAATTAATACAATCTTAAATTTTAATTTTTATCGTCTCCAGATCCTCTGCAGGTAAAGGTCATTAAACTATTTTGTTATTTGAAATTAAAACAGTTGAAAATGAGACCTATGGAGCTGTCCTTAATGATTTAACCAAACATAACAGCAGTGATGATTATGTGGATATTATATGCCCTCTATGTATGAAAAGAAGTACACCTAACCTTTTCCATAACCTTAACTCCATTCTAATCATGAGAAAACAGACAGAACCAAACTGAGGACATTCTACACACTTTCAGCACCCTTTAGAACTACCATGATCATGAAAAACATTCACAGAGCAAAGACAACTAAGGAAATTATGACAGCGGTAATTGATGTGAGATCATGGATTGGTTTCTAAGATGGGGCAGGGGGAGACATTTGTGGAAAATGTGATGAAATCTGAATAAAGACGAGTTTAATAATAGTAATTTATCAAGGCTGATTTCTCAGTTTCAGCAAATGTACCACGGCAATTGTTACAGTTGATAGACTGTGTCAACTTGAAAAGCTTAAAAATTTAAGAGACTACAGGGAGCCAGGATTCTTGCTTTGTAAATACCCTCAACCTGTGCAAGAGGAAGGCACAGGTGGTGTGAGTGCTACAACTGCCTTGTGCAAAGTGGGTGATCCTGCTTACAATATAGGAGCAGAAGAGGCTTGTTTCCCGCCCTTTTGCTCATGCTGCTTTTGCTAGCTGCTGCCTTGGCGTATTGCCCCTCAGCCCTGCCAGCCTGCGTTGGAGCCAGCTGATTATGGATTGAAACCTCCACAAACAGTGAGTTAAGTAAACCTTTCCTTCCTTCATTTTAGGTGTTGGATATTTTGTCCCACCTGTGAGAGAAAAGTAACCAAGACAGTAATGTAAGAAAACAGTAATACAAACTGATGAGGGGTTATAGGATAACTGTAAGTCTAAAATTACTCCCAAGTAAAATTATATTTTTAAAAGAATTCACAACCTCTAGAGGCTCTCCACTGACGAGATTAAATTCAAATTTCAGCTGGTAGCTGAGAATTTTTTATAATCTGACATCTCACTCAAACTAAACCTTGTTTTCCCCTTAGTGAGACCATATTGCAAAATACAAAATTAGAAAGGATTGGGGCTGTAGCTCACTGCAAAGGCACAGAGGTCAATTACTACTACCAAAATAAAATAAAGGTAAATAAAAACAAAGGGCCAGACCTGAGAATATAGCTCAGTGGCATAGCGCTTGCCTAGCATGTGTGAAGCCCTGGGTTTGACACCTAGTCCCACAAAATTTATGGTCAGACAGAATAAGCATTTGGCCTCAAATATTTAGAGGTTAAGAGGCTTATCATCCCTGTCTGCAATTTCAAAATCTAAAATAATTTGAAAAACCAAAAGTATTTTGGTTATTTTAAGGTAACATTCATTTTGGCTGCAAAACTTGGTAAGAATGTGATGAAATTGTTTATAGTCTTGACCTCACTTTAGATAAATATTCATTGACCCAACTGTGGAAATAACATACTTGCTACAAGGTGCTCTCTCTGCATGCAGGGTACTAAATAACACATAGTAGATACAGTTTATGACTTTGCTAAAATCCAAAACTTCTAAAGTCTGAAGCACAAGTGGTTTCAAAAGGTTCAACAAAAGGATTGCATTTTCTAAATCAAAGGCCATATTACAGGGGGAGAAAAGCTCAAGCTCACAGACAGAATGCCTGACAACTTTTACACAGCAGAAGTGATAGAGAATGAATCAAAAGAGAATTAGTAATTTTTGAGTCAGAAAAAGAATCACAACATGTAGGAAGTACCCAGTAAATACTTGCTGACTGATAGAATTTCCTGAAAGTAAAAAACTATAGACCCTGCTTTTTGAAAGTTTAAAGAAAAATTGGAGGTACAAATTAAGGATAAAATAGATATTAATATGTAAAATTTAGTACATTTCTTTCTAAAAAAGAATTCAGGTGCGAAAATGGCATACATATTTCTAAAGGCAGATGAAAATAGCTGGGCATGTGATCCCAGCTCTTGGGAGACTGAGGCAGGAGGATCACCGTGAGTTCAAGGCCAGCCTGCGCTACACAGTGAGACCCTATCTCCAAACAAGCAAAAAGAGGGTAAAAGTGACAAAAACACCAAGCATAATAAGGAAATAATATCTAGGCATTAAATACAACTAGATTTCATCTCCATGTCTTCCTAGGAAGATAGAAAAAGTGAGGAAAACAGGCTATTGAATTTTAATAGTATTCAATTTACCAGGACAAACTTTTTCCTAATATTAAATTGTAGAAAAAAATATCTCACAGACTCTAGTGCAACCAATAATGAACTGCTAAACAGTTACTTTAGCAATTTTACAGGTCCATTCATTGGTTCATTTTTATTTTTATCTGACAACCATAAAATTGTGCGTAATTATGAAAGCATCTCTTCACAGGATGAGTTCAATGCTTTAAGAAATAAACTGGTATTATTACTAAATTTATAGAAATTCAAGGTTGTCTTCTTAAGGCTTTGACTTAATTTATGTTAACTCATTCAACAAATATTTTGTATCAAGGCCTAAGCTCATTACTGGAATTAGATATTGAGTCTGAAAGCTCAGCCTGCAGCATTCTAGCATAATTCCTAAAGATGTTTCAACTCTTAATATCAATTTAATATTTATCTGGTCTAATGTTTCGAAGAAATCCTCCATGATTAAGAATGATCAAATTCTGTGGGTTGTATTTTGTGAAACTTCATTTTAGTTTCTTCCCTTACTTAATCCACACGGAATTTGATTTTGATCTGTTGCTGAAAGAGAATTAATAACTCTGGTACCACGGGTTATCTTTCTTAAGAAGATGATGCTAAATCTATGGTAGAAGCAAAGCATGTGTTTTAAGTTACTTTCTAATAGTGATCTTGGTTTGAGGTAAGCCAGTTAAGTTGTTTATGACCCCAGTTGACCTACAGCATGAGGTTATGAGATGGCTAATTAAGACCAGAGTACCCTAGGAACAATTTATAATGTAATACATGAATCTTGATTGAAAAAATTAAAATTGAAGTTAGCACATTATTGTTTTTCTTTATATATTACATACTATCAGTGGCAGAGCACTGTGTTCTGTAGTATTTCCTCATTATTTTTAAAGGTTTAGACTGAAATATAGTGGGTTTTAGATATTTTTTAAATGCTGGATTTAAAATGATTGCTCTTTTGGGTGAACAGATAAAGAACAGAAAAGTTCCAGACAGATGTAAAAAACAGTGAGTGTCCTAAGTTGAAAGAAAGGAAAATATATGAGCAGAGTAATAGTTTGAGGCACCGCCACAGGTGACACTTTTCTTAGTAACTCCCTTTCCAAGAAACCATTCATCTTTCACAGGATTTCGAAATGTTGCCCAGGAAAACAAGTCAGTTACCTTGACTGAAAGAATCTCGCACCATAAATTATTAAGGTAATTGTTTATTTAGTGATGTTCTAAATGAATGATTTCTCATTGAAAGATCACAGTATCTTTTCACCTGAATGTTGATAAATAGTCGGGTGATATTTTTCTAATGAATAATTACTAATTAAAAGATTATTGAATATTATTTTCCCTTAAACACTCCTTTAGAAAGTATTATTTAGATCCTAATTTTTATCAACTCCCAAAAACACACTATGATCAGTTAAAGCCAAACTGTGTCAAATAAATTTAGCACAACTCTAGAAAATCAAAAACAGTACCACATTTCCTTGCAACATTTCAATATTTTTTCTTTATCTTTTGAAAAGGTTTAAGTTTCATGAAAACAGTTACCCTAATGGGAGAATAGACTTTTCTATATAAGAGATTTATCTATCCTTCAAAGTGATCAGAGTCCCTTTCACTTGATTATTTCTTCCATATGGCTCAGAAATGTTACATCTTACTTGGTCATGTGTTTGACCTTTTATGAGAGGCAGACAGTGGACCAGAGTTTGTCTCATTTTGAAATCTCTTCAGAAATGACTAAATGTTTTCCAGATGAACACACTATGAACCAAGAGAGGAACTAGGAATTAGAAATCATTGCTTCCAAACCAGGAGAATTTGTAGACTGCTTTTACTTTTGGAACCCAGTGACCTAAAGGCATCAACCCTCCAGGCAATTTCCTTCACTGTCAACAATACCATTAAGTCATGAAAACAACTCAGGATGAG